TTTTAGGGAAATGCAAGTAAAAACAAAAATAATATATCATCCCATACCAGTGAGAGTGGTTTATAAAAATTCAAAAACAAATAGAGCAGGTAAAAATGTGTCAAGGAACTTCCATTTTCTGCTAGTGGGTTGTTCAGTCTTTATAGAAAATAGTTTGGATACTACAAAAAATTAAGAATAGAGCTTTATATTACCCTGAAATTCTAATTCTAGGCAACTACACAAGAATACTAAAACTTTAATATAAAGGGATATATACACACCTAGTTCATCGCTGAATTATTTACAATAAGCAAGATCTGGAAACAACTCAAGTTTCCAACAACAGATGAGTAAAAATAGAAATTGTGGTATATGTACACAATGGAACATTATTCAGCTATGATAAAAGATGTCATGCCAAGACAGGGCTGGAGTGATAGCACAGTGGCAGGGTGTTTGCCTTGTATGAGGCCAGCGTGGCTGACCCAGGTTCGATTCCTCCGCCCCTCTAGGAGACCTCAGCAAGCTACCAAGAGTATCTTGCCCACACATCAAAGCCTAGAAAGCTCCCCATGATGTATTTGATATGCCAAACACAGTAACAACAAGTCTCACAATGGAGACGTTACTGGGTCGTCCACTCAAGCAAATCGATGAGCAACGGAAGGACAGTGCTAAAGCGCTATGATAAAAGATAAAATCTTTTATGTTTTATGTAATGCTATATGTTAATATGTAATGTCAATATGTAGCATTTTATGTTAGAACAGTTTGCTATAACATAGATTGAGTTGGTGAATATCATGCTAAGTGAAGACTCACACATATGCAGAGTATAAAGAAACAAATAAAAATATTATACAATTTTCAGTGGGAAACATCCCTAAGATACTGTCAACAGAACTGCACTGTACAACTGTAGCACTGTCCTCCCATTGTTCATCGATTTGCTCGAGCAGGCCCAGTAATGTCTCCATCATGACTTGTTGTTACTATGTTTGGTGTATCGAATACATCACGGGGAGCTTAGTACATCACAGGGAGTTAATTGTGAAACTATGATCTGAAATTCCTGGAGGAGGGGGGTAAATAATCTTTGGATAACTGTGAATGCATCATGGCACTCTGGTGGTGGGCAGTGTGAAGCAGCACAAAACTAAAAAATAATATTGGTACTACTTTAATATAAAGAACCAAAACCAAATAGATTTAATTATAGGTCTAATAATTACTTCCATTTGAATCAACAATGAATATAAATGCTATTCTCAAATATGCCTAAGATAGCACTGTAGCACTGTCCTCCCATTGTTCATCGATTTTTGCTAGAGCAGGCCCAGTAACGTCTCCATTGTGAGAGTTGTTACTGTGTTTGGCATATCGAATACGTCACAGGTCGCTTGCTAGACTTTGCCGTGTGGGCACGATATTCTTGGTAGCTTGCTGGGCTCTCCAAGAAGGGTGGAGGAATCAAACGCAGGTCGGCCGAGCCGGCCGAGCCGGCCGCAAGAAAGGCAAATGCCCTACCTGCTGTGCTCCAGCCCATACCTAAGATATGTAAAAATATTAAGATTTTCAGTGATGACAAAAATCTCAGAAACATATAATACTCTGAATTTGTTGCTGACATTAATAACTAAGGAAAGGAGGCTGAAGAGAAAGTATAGAGGTTAAGGTGCTTTCCTTGCATGTGGCTGACCCAGGTTTGTTCCTAGGCTTGCACATGGTCCACCTAGTAGCACCAGGAATACTCTTAGAAAAGAGAGTCAGTAATAACCCCTGAGCACTGCTGGGTATGGTCTAGCAAAGAAAATAAGATTTGAAGGAAGTATTACATGTAGGGAGGGATATACAAATAATATAATTTAGTTTTTAAAAAGCACTATGAATAAATTATAGTGTTACCTATGAATTTTGTGTGATCATGTTTGTCACGGTGTCAATGCATGATATATCAGTAAATTGTAATGTTAAAAACCCAGAAAACTAAAAAGAGGAATAGAAAAATTCTTGAAAGCAACAATAGAGTAATATTTCATAATAGGGGAAAGCATCTTAATAACAACAAATGTCTTAGATAAAAACAGGAAGCCAAGAGGAAATAGAATACTATTCAGTTAGTTAAATAAAATAAATGTCAAGCCATAATTCTATATTCATCAAAAATATCCCTTAAGTATAAAAGAGAAATCATGACTTTATTAGCACTGTAGCACTGTCCTCCCGTTGTTCGTCGATTTGCTCGAGCAGGCCCAGTAACATCTCCATCATGAGACTTGTTGTTACTGTGTTTGGCATATTGAATACATTACGGGTAGCTTGCCAGGCTTTGCCATGTGGGACTTTATTAGGTGAAGAGAAATTAAGAATCTGTCACTAAAAGACCAGATATAGAATAGCGTCTAGGAGTTTATTAAAAAGAAAGGAATAATAAGGATTTTTGTTTGTTTCTTTGTTTGTTTTTGGGGCTGTGTTATGGGACAGACTTGTCTGTGCTCAGGTTTTACTCTGGCTCTGCACTGCCTTGGGGTCATTCCTCCTTGGCTTGTACTCAACAAATAACATACAGTGCTGATGAATGAATCAATGTCAACCACATGCAAGGTGAGAATGCTTAACCCCTACACTATCTCTCCAGCACCCCAAAAGAATTTTAATATAAAGTAAGAAAAGAATGCCCAAGTATAAATATGTATAAATACAATGAATTTGCTTCTATTTATCTAAATTATTTGATGGTTAAAGCAAAAACTATGCCAATCTAATGCGGTTGTAAATATGTAAATGAATATTTTAAGTTAAAATGGGATTTTAAAAAATGTTCACTAAATGTTATAAAGGCAGGAAAAAAAATGAGGAACATAAAAAACACACAACAACAACAACAACAAAAACAAATTGAATTAAATCCTGTTGGAGCCTGACCAGAGTCATGAAGAAGTTCTGGGAACGCACTGCCTTGCAAAGAAGGTCATGTTGTAGCTGCAAAAAGCTAGGAACTTTGAGTGAACTGGGTTGCGGTCAGCATGTTCTAATGTATCTGCTTTTTGTTATAGGTTAACTGTGCTATGATTGGATGAAAGTTAAATACCTTACCGAGCTAGTTTGTAGGCTTGCATAGATGGTGTGGAATATACAGGAAGTGGGATGTAAGGATTTACAAGTTGTCTGAATTACTTCGTCAAGAACTTTATGCATCATTAGGCTACAAAATAATATGTACACTAAGGTGTTTTGATCTTATGTATTTTGATTTTATGTACTCTGATATATGCTGAATGTTTTGATCATTAACCCAATTAAAAAGGGCTGCAAAAGCCTGTCAGTGCTAAATGGCCTGAGTGAGCTTTAGCCCTCCATTTTCTAACATTCCACATGCCTTGCTTATCTCTGCACCTTCAACCTATCACTTGAGAACTAACAAGTCCTAACATGTTAATAATTAGACAATATGTAAACACCAATCACATAAATGTAAATATCTTTAAAATACACAGATATGCAGGTGGAATTGTTTTGTTTTAGGGCCACATCTGGCAGTGTTTGGGAACTAAATCCTCATGTTTAGAGGACTTTGTGTGCAAGATATCAAACCCAGGGGTTCTGTATGCAAAGCACGTACCACCATTCCTCTAAGTCATCTCTCTGGTACCCAGCCCAAGTTTTTTGGTTTGAAAATGGTGCATTTTTATGTTTGATAATATACAATCACATGCATAACAGCACAAAATCTACTTGTACCTGTAGGGGCATATTCTAGTTACCTAACATGGTATCACTAGTGATCATTTAAAGTATATACACACACACATATATATATATATATATATATATTATGTATATATATATATTATGGTCATTTTACTTGCCCAGCTTTTAAGATAATATTTTTATTTCATTAAATCACCATGACATACAAAGTTATCAATACTTTGGTTTTAGACATACAGTGTTCCAGCACTAATCCCATCACGACTGTCTTCCTCCTTCCCATGTTTCCCAGATTCCCTCCTACCCACCAACCCATGTTCCAGTATGCCACCTTAACAGGTGCATTTTTTAAAGTCACTCAACTATAAACTGTCTAAAGAACCTCGATTAAAATATATTGAACTAAAGTATAAACTAAAAGTACCAGAAAGAACAGAAATTTACCAAAATTAGTAAAAAGAAATCAAATTTAGGCCAGAGAGATATTATTGGTATTAAGGCATTTGCCTTGCATGTAACCAAGGATGGTGTGATCCCTGACACTGTCTCCTGGTTGATTCTTGAGCACAGAGCTAGGAGTAACCCCTTACCCCCCAAAATAAAACCTTCTTAGATTAAAAATACTTTGGAGGACAAAAAATTACAGAGACAGAAAGGAACAAATTATAAAAAAAGATTAAAGGTTAATACATGAAGAATTTATAGAATTCTAAGTATGCATGCTCAAAATAACATTATAAAATAAATGAAACAAGAATGGAGAACTGAAATAAGTGAAGCATTATCTCATTCTTAATGACATATTAAGAATGACATATTAAGAATTATTAATATTAATCACATATTAAGAACTCATTATCTTAATATGTGATTTCAATACTTGTCTGTAGAAAAATCAGTATGATAATAGAAGAACTCAACAAACAAAAAAAAATAGGAAGTAATCGACATTTATAGAGTAACCAACTAAACAACAGAAAATCTACATTATTTCCTGGAATTTAGAAAATATGTATCAAGATATACTACATTCTGGGATACACAAGAAATTTTAGCAAATTTAAATAAGCCAAGTTATGTACAATTCTTTCTTTAAAGAAAGTTAAACTAGAAATCAATAAAGGAAATGGGAAAAATCTCAAAAAACTTGGGAACTAAGCAATTGATTCTGATGTATTGGGGTCCAAGAGGTGATTAAAATAAAATTTATAAATACATTAAACTGAATTACACTGGAAATAAAATAAATTAAAATTTGTGAATGTCAAGGTAATGCCAGGAGGAGATTTATAGCACTAAATACTTACATTAGAAAAGAGGAAAAGTCTCAAATCAATAACTAAGCTCCCACACCTCAAGAACCTAGAAAAATAAAAGCAATATAAACCCAACGCAAGTAGATAAATGGAAATAATAAAGAGCAGAAATCAAGGACTGGCGATGTAGATCAGTGATAAAGCACATGCTTTGCCTCACAAGTATGTCTGAGGTTCTTTGATCAGTTCCTCAGTATGAAATGAAAGGATAAAAAGAGTAAAAATATTTTAATTAAAAAGGGAAAAGCAATGGGCATAATCAATAAAACAAAATCCTATTTTTTAAAAAGTTCATTAAATTATAAACCTCCAACAATATTTAAGAAATAAAAAGTAGAAAATATAATTTACCAATATTATAAATTAAACAAAAACTATTACTATATCTCAAACTTAAATATTATAATGCTACAAATATATATCTCACAACATAGATGAACTAATATCTCACAATGCACAAAAGAACACAATGACTGATATATTAAACAGACCTAGAGCTATTTATAAAAATTAATTATTTTACATTTACAAGAAAGTATATTTGTTCTTAGATGATTATACTAAAGAATTCCATTATATATTACAAATTTTAATACTAATGTCAGGGATATTGTTCAAAGGGGTGAGCAGTGCATCAAACCCACATCACCAGGCTAAGAATGCAGAGAGTGACTCCCAGACCGGCAAACATAGAATTAACCAAGAATACAATAAATACAGTAAAATAAAGCAAACAAAATTGCATATCTTTACTGTATGTAATTTTTATTTGTCAATTATTCACAAAGAAAATTAGTGGATGGATATAGAAAAGCACACACGAATACTTCTTATGAATGCATAAGTGAAAGTTCTTTAAAAATTAGCAAATAAGGGGCTGGAGAGATAGTACAGCAGGTAGGGAGTTTGCCTTGCACGCAGTCAACCTGTGATCGATTCCCAGCATCCCATATGGTCCCCTGAGCACCGCCAGGGGTAATTCCTGAGTGCAAAGCCAGGAGTGACCTCTAAGCATCACCAGGTGTTACCCAAAAAGAAAAAATTAAAAAATTAGCAAGTAAAATTGAATAATAAAAAAGATAAAGAAGAGTTTATTCTAGAAGTACAGACTAACTCAAGACTAAAAGAAATCAATGTAATTCATGACACTAGCAGAAAAAAATCACTGTAATGCAGAAGTAGTATTTGACAAAATTAAAAATTCATTCACAATAAATGATCTAAAAATAGTATTACAGGGTATTTTCTCAATTTTATATAGAGCAGTTACACAAGAATTCCTGCAACTAGAAAAAATATTAGAATACGTATATCCATCACTTTTATATAATGTAACACTAGAAATTCTAGCCAATGCAGTAAAGCAAGGAAATGATAAATAGGAGTGTAAATAAGAAAGGAGGAGATAACACTGTGCCTATTGACAGCTAACATGATGATCTACCAAGAAAATTCCAAGGAACTTACATAAAAGTAAGATTTTATGTAAGAACAAATAATTGAGCTTAGAAATATAGAACTAAACATAAAACCCACTTTTACTTTTATATACTAGCAATTTATATGTGGAAGTTGAAATTCAATATCATTTTAAAAGCAAAATATAATATACATACTGATGTATTGTTATAAAAATAAAAAAAATAAAGGCCCTCCCATTGATCATCGATTTGCTCGAGCGGGCCCAGTAACGTCTCCATTGGAGACTTTGTTGTTACTGTGTTTGGCATATCGAATACATCACGGGGAGCTTGCCAGGCTCTGCCGTGCGGGCGAGATACTCTCGGTAGCTTGCGGGACTCTCCAAGAGGGGCGAAGGAATCGAACTCGGGTCGGCCATGTTGGCTGCGTGCAAGGCAAATGCCCTACCCGCTGTGCTATCGCTCCAGCCCCCCTAAAAAAGGAACTGTCAGGAGTGGGATGTATTGGTATAAAAATGTATTGGTATAAAAATTCTAAAAGTTGTATAATAAAACTACAAACCCATATTAAAGAAATAAAACATATATTATGCTTATGATTTTAATATAGAAAGTATGTTTATTCACATTTTATTAAACCTGACAAGATATATCATGGATTTTATAGACATGCGTGGTCTGAAATTTATTTGGAATGGTAAAGAAACTAGAATAGCTAACATAATTATTAACAAAAATGAGGCAGGGAAGTGGATCGAGAGAACAGTGGGTATGGTGCTTGCCTTGTACCACAGTTGACTGGGGATACAACTATAGTAAACAGATATGGTCTCTCCCTCCCCCCAAGCCCATCCAGGAATGTTACCCCCCCAAACCAAACCAAAACAAAACTAACTAAAACAAACAAGAACAAAGGGGGAGGATCAGTCAAGCAAATTTTAAGTTCTAATATCTAATAGGGCTAGAGCGATAGCACAGCGGGTAGGGTGTTCGCCTTACAAGCGGCCAACATGGCCGACCCGAGTTCGATTCCTCCGCCCCTCTCGGAGAGCCCGGCAAGCTACTGAGAGTATTCGATATGCCAGACACAGTAACAACAAAGTCTCCAATGGAGACGTTACTGGGCCCGCTCGAGCAAATCGACGATCAACGGGAGGGCCTTTACCTTTACCTTACCTTAATATCTAATAGTTCCAATAGCTAAAGTGATTAAGACTATAGGATGGATAGAGGGATAGTCACATAGATCAAAGCAAGAGAACAGAAAACACAGAAAAATAAACCCATTTGATGAGTTCAAGTTATATTTGACAGATGCAAAAGGCTACTAAGTTAAAAAAAAAAAGGTCAACCAATAGTGTTAGGGGCTGAACAAATAGCATTGCATGCTTCCAAAAATGTTAGGAAGTGTTCAAGATGTTCATGATCTTGATGAAGAAGTTTGACCATCTGGTAGGTGGGCGGCCACACGGTCTTTTGACATCCTGTGGAATCCAGTCGGTAATGGCTCTAGTCCAGCGGTCGTCTCTAAATTGCATTACGTGACCAGCCCATCTGATTTTTGACACCTTGGCAAACAAGACAGCATCCCTGATTCTTGATTGTCACAGATCTCGGAACTCTGGATTCTTTCTCTCATTTGAGTGAAACGTGATACTCCAAGCATAGCTCTTTCAATTCCTCTTAGGGAGACCCAAATAGCATTCTCATCCTGTTTGCATAGGGCCCAGGTCTCTGAGGCATATGTTAATGCAGGAAGAACAGTGGAATCAAAGAGATGTGCCTGGAGCTGGAGGTTCTTCGTCCTCTTAGCTATTTCTTCGAGGCTCTCTTCCTCCTGCGCAGCTCAGGTGCCAGGTCATTAGTCATGTTGACTTCTAGACCTAGGTAAACATGACTGTTGCATTCAGAGATGATCGTTCCGTTGAGAGCGAATGGAGTGTCAGGAACAAGGCTGTTTCTCATAAACATTGTCTTCGTAAGATTCAGCTGTAGTCCGACCTTTCCACACTCATGGTCAAAGTTGGCCAGCATTTGTGCTGCCTGGCTAATGTTTGGTGTTATTAAAACAATGTCATCAGCACAGCAGAGGTGATGTAGTTGCTAACCATCTATCTTCACTCCCATTCCTTCCCATTCCAGTCGTCACATGATATTCTCGTCGGTGGTACTGAAGAGTTTTGGTGAAATGGTATCACCCTGCAAACCCCTCTCTTGACATGGATGATTACTTCTTTGTAGAATGGTGAGATCCTGGTAGTGAATCTGTAATACAGCTCATGGAGGATCTTGATGTATTGAGTTTGAATGCCCTGATTGGCTAAGGCTTCAATGACTGCTTCCATATCAACAGAATCAAAGGCCTTCTTTAAATCAATGAATGTTAGACAGAGCAGCATCCTGAACTCCTGAGAAACCTCAATGAGCTTGGTTGTCATGTAGATATGGTCGATTGTGCTGAATCCTTTGCGGAACCCGGCTTGCTCTCATGGTTGTCCTTCATCTAGTGTTCTGTCAATCCTATTCAGGATGACTCGAGTGAACAACTTGTAGATGACAGACAATAGGCAGATCGGGAATAGTTGCCAATGTCGTGGATGTCTCCCTTCTTGTACAGTAGTACAGTCCTGCTGGTTTTCCATTGGGAAGGAACCTTGCATTCAGACAGCGTGTGAAGAGCCGAGCCAGTGTATTGATGAGTACTAACGGCAGGTTCTTCAGGTGTTTAGGTCTGACCTTGTCTGGGCCAGGTGCTGTTCATTTCTTTACTGATGAAATGGTGTGTCAGATTTTGGAAGGGAGAACATTGGGAATAACATATCCATACTGTGGAATTTGGTATGTTGGCAGGTGGACATGGCTTTGGAAGAGATTTGAGTAGATGTCCTGGGTAATCTTCTCCATTGCCCTTCTGGAAGATGTGATAGATCCATAAGGATGTCGGAGGGCAGTCATCTTGGTCTTGTAGTTGGCGAAGGACAGGCAGGCATTATGAATACTTTTCCCGGCTTCTGCTGCATCTACCAGCACTTCTGCTCTTCTCTCTTTGAGGTCTTCCTTGATCGCATCTCTGCACTGCTTTGTGAGCTTGGACGTTCGCTTGCGGTTGCCTGAGGCATGCATCAAACCATGTTGGCAAATAAGCTCAAGAGTTTTCGAAGACAGGCATTTTTTTGTGGCTATCTCTCTCTTGTCGTTCCTCGCACAATCATGGAGGTGCTGAACCAGTCGATCGTATTCCTTGTTAATGTTGTCAACAATGATGTCTTCCCATGTTGCTGCAATAGTGCCAAAGAGCTCCCAGTTAGTGGTCGTTCTGCGAGTTCTCTTCTCAAACTTTGTAGCGCTTTCTCCCCGCTCTGTGAAGTAGAATTTTGCACGAAGGAGACTGTGATCCGATCCCATTTGGAATTTTGGTACAACAGCGACATCAGTCAGGCAAAACCATCAATTGAATATGATGTGGTCTATTTCGTTGTGGAATCATCCACTGGGAGACTCCCATGTCCAACGGTTAGATTCGGCCTTCTGGAACCTTGAGTTACCATGGATGGTCTTGGTAGACATGATGAACTCAGACAGTCTCTCACCCTGTTTGTTCCATTCTAGGCCATGGGTCCTGATG